TCTCGTGCACTTCTGGTGGGGCGCGTCGGTGTACATTCCTGCCGCTGCCGATGCCGATGCCGTCAACATCAACGTCGCCGTCGCCGTCGCCGCTCTGCCTGCGCAGGCAGCCTCCTCTTCGTCTCGCGAGCTGGCTGGCCTCGAAAAAGCCTTTGCAGCCGTCGATTTGCCTCGCGCCCTCTGCACCGCCTTTGCTGTCCGTCTGCGCACACTTCGCGCATCCTCAAGCCACGCCGCGACGATCCTCAGCTCGACCGCTCTGGCCCCGCTCGCCATCCATTCGCGCGCTTGGGACGCCAGCGAGCCCAGCTTGCCAGCTGACCTCACTTCGCCCTCCTCCCTGTGCCCACCGATTGCCGCATCACAACCACACTGCGCGACACCTACGCGCCGCGCATTGCCCCTGTTCAGGTCGCGCAAGTTCTCTGCACCTGCCAAGTACGTCATCGAGGACGTCGCTGCGAGCGAGCCAGCAAAAACGGGGACGACGATGACGACGACGACGACGCCAACGACGACAAATCCCTCCTCCTCCTCCTCTTCATCTCCTACGCAAGTGACTTCGACATCCACCAGCAACTCTGGCAGCGCTGTCGCAACAGCCATCGGTCCCAAGAGCGCCGCTGCTGCCACCTCGTCCAACTCGCCCAACAGCGGCAAGCCGCAAGATGGCGGCACCTCTGGAAATGCAAGCTCCTCGACAACGACGACGACGACGACGCCCAAGGAGAGGACGCGAACGGCGATTCACATTTTCTCCCTGGCATCTCTGCGTCTCAACCTGTTCGGATGGGTGAGCAAGGAGAGGTTGGGAGGATCGCCGCCGTGCAAAGACGCATCGTGCAGCTCGTCGCCTGCCAATGCCGTCTGCGGTGGCGCAGTCGTCGTAGCGGTGCCTGGATCCAGCGCCAGCGCCAGCTACTCGGCCGCAGCGGGACAGCAGACCAGCACGGAAGCGGAGGCAGAGCAGGGAACCAAGGGTCAAGACGATGCTGCCGACGACGACGAGGCTGGTGGTCAAGGTGGTGCGCCAGCTTCCGGTACGCCCACGCCCTCGCCCACGCCCTCGCCCACCCGCTTCAAGCGCTTCTCGAGCCAAGGTCAGGTTCAGCAGACGTTTGTCGATGCGTCGCCCAAGCTGGATGCTGTTGCAGAGGAGAGCGATGGTGGGATGGTGACCCGCACGACTGTGACCAGTGAGTGGTGCGCATCGCGGCGCATTTCCTCCCCCGCATCTCGCTGAATGCTCCCAACTTCTCCTCCTCCTCCTCCTCCTCCTCCTCCTTTAGCGGTGACGACGACGGATGTGCATCGCATGACTGCGCACGAAGCTAGAAAGAGCGCAGCCAATGCGGCCCCTAGCGTTGTTGCAGCAGAGCCCGCAAGATCCTCGGTCGTGGCATCCGCTGCCTAACATGACGTCACGCGTGTATCAAAAGCCGCGAGCTGATGCTTGATTGACGTGTAAGGACGACTGATGACCGCAATGTAATGACGTCACTCCTGAATGCTACCGGATTGCCGAAGCGAGCCTGGCTGTGCGCCCTGCTGAGCATGGGCTGGCTCCGTGTCGCCCTCACGTGAGAATCTTGTAGTGCGCTTGCAGGTACACGTCGCCGATGGTCAGATCCTGCTCCTCGTCGCGCACATAGCCTTTGCTGGTATACATCTTCTCCTGATGCTCCATGCCGCGGCGAGTGTGCAGACAGACGACCTCGCTGCCGTGAGCGACGACGTATTGCTCTGCATGGGCAATCACTTGGCTGGCAACACCTTTGCCTTGAGCTTGCGGCGCAACTGCAAGGAATCTCAGCTCCCAAGACCGAGTTTTGGGTGCGTGTGGGTGTGGGTGTGGGTGTGGGTGTGGGTGTGGGTGTGGGTGTG